AAAAGTTGATTAAAATAAATTCTACAGCCAGAGTGTGTATACTTTTTGACATACCTTCATAATTAATGTCACTAAATTATACACGAAAAGCAATGTTGAAAGAGCAAATGTTTTGTTACATGTTTACTACACAAAAATTTTCTTAAGTCACAAAACAAAACAAATGCTATGAGAAAGAAAACTGAGATGATTTAAGAGCACATCTTCATCTCCTAGAGCTGATATAACACAATTACCTCAAGTAGTGTCTTTAAAGAACAGAAATGGATGTTCTTGATGCTCCTAAGGCAAGAAATCTGAATTCAGAGCCCCAGTGTTCTCTCTCTGCTTGCTTTGGGGTAAAGTCCTTGTTTTTATCAACTTCTCTAGACCTAGAATTCCTCACTTTCTTGTTGATCCACACTTGGCATCTCTCTTCCTGGTGTTGGTACTTCCTCCTGCATCTTATCTGATCTTTTTTATAATGCACATGTGATTAAGATTAGGAACCAGACCATACTATTGTGACATCATTAAACTAACCAAGAAATGTGGTGTCCAAATGGGATTACGTGAATAGGTTCAGATTCCAACTTCTCTTTTTAGGAGACACAATTCAATCTATGATAGAGCATTGAATAGGGATCGTAACCCAGTTTGGAAAATCAGGACTGATAATTGAGTTAGCTCTGACTCAGCAAACCTAATATGCAACAGAACGAAACACTGCCCGGTCCTGTGCCATCCTCACAATTATTAAGCTTGAAACCATTGCTGCTTCCATTATGCCAATCCACCTCATTGGGGGGTCTTTCTCTTTTGTGCTAACCATCCACTTTACCAAGTGTGATCTTCTTTCCCAAGGATTGGTCAATCCTGATAATATGTCCAAAATATGAGAGACGAAGGCTCCCCATCCTGGCTTCTAAGGAATACTCTGGCTGTACTTCTTCCAACACAGATTTGATTGTTCTTCTGGCAGTCCATAGTTGTTGGGGACGTACGCAAATACTGAGATGTTGTGGTCTTATGGCAACATGGACGAAAATCCAACCCCGGGGCCCTTCTCAGGATTATGAGCCATGGACCCTGAGGGCCAAGGAAGTGACCTCCTGACGTCCTGGGTTCATTGGTTTTTGCGATCTCACTGGTTGGCTACCTCTGTATAATTTTCTTTGGTCCTAATATTGTTCATTCTATGCTTCTAACCCCAGTAATTGTAGCTTCTGAGAAAATGGTTTCTTTTACAATGCCTCTCTTAA